ATCAGGGAACCAGCTGTGTGCCCGGCCGCAAAATATATGAGCAATAATATCTTTAAAAATGCAAATACATATATTTCACTTTGACTATTAAGAGCATGAATCGGAGGGAAAGTTGAAAACAAACGATATTATAGTGCTTGAAAACTTGACTTTTCTGACTTTCGCTGAATATCCGTGTCTAAAATTTGTAAACTTGGCACACCGGCATACGGTCTGGATATGTAATTTCTTTCTTGTTCAAAATCCTAATCGATGTTTTGTGGATTTCATCGGGATGAGCCATTTTCTTTAGTTACAAACCCAAGCATGATTTGATCGATGCCCAATAGGAAGTGCAACTAAATCGTTCGGGCAACCATGCCTATATTTAATAGAAAGTATAAACCAAATCTGAGTACACCTCCCCCCCCCCCCCCCCCTCCGGGTCCCCATCACGGAACCTCATGAGCATTTCTTAGGTCAATAGGCTGTATATATAATAGTGGAGGTACTATGGAAATTGGAATAACACCCGACGGGGGCTGATCAAAGATTTCCCAACAATAATAATTATGAATAAGACGCCCTGAAATTTGAATGTCACGCAAATTCCAGGGATTAATTCCCTCCAATTTGCGCGAGCGGCCGCTTCCGAAGCAGAATTAAGTGACAATAATCATAAACAGTAATACTCCAGCTATCAGGGTGTGTACATCCACTAAATCGCCAGTGGCGGATCCGGGGGCCCGCCTCCCCCGTCCCCCCCCCCCGGGGAAAAAAAACGTGTAAAAACACGTTAATTTTACCTTTTTTGGGAGATGCCCCCCCCTCCCCCTGTCGCTCAAGAGGGGTGCACATTTTCAAATTTTAGAGGGTCCCCCAACAAAATGTGCTCACCTTTATACATCATGCATGCCCAAGTAGGAGTCGTCGGGCTTGAGTTAGCCCGAATTATTATTTCCATTTACAGAGCCACCCCCTCCCCTCCAGCCCCCGATTATTATTATTTTTATTATTATCATAATCGTTAGTAGGGGTCTAGTAGTACTTGTCCGAGGGGCGGCGATCCGGGGGGGGGGGGGGGGGCACGTTCCCCCTCAATTTTCTTTTAGAGGGGGGGGGGGGGTCGTTCCCGCCTGAAATTTTGAAAAAGTGCACACATGAAATGTATAGCAAATACTGACTAAAGACTGCAACACACTTTTAGGCTCTGGAGGGCCCAAGAATGCAGCGCTTAGACTCAATATTTGCTATTATAGCAAATAAGTCTAAACGCTGAATTCTGAGTCTAAACGCTGCATTTTGGGCCCTCCAGAGCTTCTTGTGTGCACTTTTTCAAAATTGCCGGCGGGAGCGACCCCCCCCCCCCCCCCCCCCCCCCCGCCTCTAAAAGAAAATTGAGAGGGAACGCCCCCCCCCCCCCCCGACCACCGCCCCTTTGGACTCCTACTACTATTAAAATAATACTACTAGACCCCTTCTAATGGTTATAATAATAATAACAATAATAATAATAATCGGGAATCCCTGGAATTTGCGTGATTTTCACATTTCAAGGCGTCTTATTCATAATTATTATTGTTGGGAAATCTTTGATCAGCCCCCGTCTGGTGCTTTTCCAATTCCCATAGTACCTCCACTATTATATACAGCGGCTTTACAGCCCATTGACCTAAGAGATGTAACTCATGAGGTTCCGTGCTGGGGACCCGGAGGGGCCGGGGGGGGGGGGGGGGGGGGGGGGGGGGGACTCAGATTTGGTACAGACGGGGATGTACCGCTGAAGCCGCAAAACCCAACCCGACTCTTTAACTCTCTCTCTCTCTCTTTGGCTCTTTAACTCTGAAAATATTAATTATAAACCCACACTGAAGCAGAGATGAATACAAATTCACAAAAAGGTCAACCAGGGGCGCGTTGCGGTGGCAGCGATCACATGGACTCGGGGAAACATGAAGAAGTTTGGCGGATCCAGGGGCCGGACATTGACCAGCCCGCCGTGCCCCCCCCCCCCCCCCCCCCCCCCCCCCCCCCCCCCCCCCCCCCCCCCCCCCGGCCCCCCTGCCTCGACGAAAAATGCTCATAGAAAATGTGTCAATCTTTCTTGGGCCGCCATTCGTGCCCCCATCCTTTGCTGCATGAATAAAAAAAATTCCTAAAATCATGATAGCCTTGGTACAACAAAATGAAATGTGTATTAAGGCCTACGACGGGGGCGGGCGGGGGCCGCTGACGTAGCCAAACCCCAAACCCCAAACCTATTATTATACGGCCATTTTTGCGTTTTTATGCCTCCGTTACGAAGTAGCCGGAGGCATTATGTTTTCGGGTTGTCCGTCCGTCCGTACGTCCGTCCGTACGTCCGTACGTACGTACGTACGTACGTCTGTACGTACGTACGTCCCGTTCTCGTGATCGCGTTATCTGAAGAACTGGTTGATGGATTCCTGCCAAACTTTGGTCATGTACGTATCTTGTAGAGCCGATGAACTGATTAGATTTTGGGGTTACGAGGTCAAAGGTCAAAGGTCACAGGGCTCATTATGTATGCAAAACAAGCTCGTGATCGCGTTATCTGAAGAACTGGTTGATGGATTCCTGCCAAACTTTGGTCATGTATGTATCTTGTAGAGCTGATGAACTGATTAGATTTTGGGGTCACGAGGTCAAAGGTCGAAGGTCACAGGGCTCATTATGTATGCAAAACGAGCTCGTGATCGCGTTATCTGAAGAACTGGTTGATGGATTCCTGCCAAACTTTGGTCATGTATGTATCTTGTAGAGCCGATGAACTGATTAGATTTTGGGGTCACGAGGTCAAAGGTCAAAGGTCACAGGGCTCATTATGTATGCAAAACGAGCTCGTGATCGCGTTATCTGAAGAACCGATTGATGGATTGCTGCCAAACTTAGGTCATGTATGTTACTTGCAAAGCCGAAAAACTGATTAGATTTTGAGGTCACAAGGTCAAAGATCAAAGGCCACAGGGCTCATTATGTATGCAAAATGAGCTTGTGATCGCGTTATCTGAAGAACCGATTGATGGATTGCTGCCAAACTTAGGTCATGTATGTTACTTGCAGAGCCGATGAACTGATTAGATGTAGGGGTCACAAGGTCAAAGGTCAAAGGCCACAGGGCACATTATGTATGCAAAAACAGCTCGTGATCGCGTTATCTCAAGAACCGATTGATGGATTCCTGCCAACTTAGGTCATGTATGTTTCTTGCAGAGCCAATGAACTGAGTAGATTCTTGGTTCATAAGGTCAAAGGTCATGGGCTCATTATGTATGCAAAAATAGCTTGTAATCACAATATTCTGAGAACCTGTTAATGGATTACAATTGAACTTGAATTCGAAAAATTTCTTCTGTTTTGGTTTGTAAAATTGCTCTATGACGGAGGCATCATTTTCGACTGCGCGCAGTCGAAGTTCCATCTAGTTTATAATTATTTGTTTAAAATGTGTAGTAATTTAGCGTCAAAATAAGCGGAAATGGCATATCCTGTATGAACAGTAAACTTGAAAACTATATTGGCCTATACCCATCAGAATTTGCAAGGAATCTCATGCAAAGTTGTGTGTCTCGGTATACGTTCTATGACATGCTCGTCAACTTCAAGGGGACTTGTGACCCATAACAATTATGGGCTTATATAGATTTTGAATGAAACCAAATGGGTGTTTAATTTTTTACTATATATGAATGATATAGGCCTACTATATTATTTACCAACAATCATGTGAAGTTCATAATATCGAATGCATTCTATAGGAGGAGTATATAGGCCTATCTTCGGTTAGGTGCCATGTCTTTACATGTTCGTACATAATTGCAGTTGGTTTATACTTTAGGCATGGTTTTCCGAACGATTTAGTTGCACTTCTTATGGGGCATCGATCATAATTATCATGCTTTGGTTTGTAACTTAAAGAAAGTTTCTCATGCCGATGAACTCCACAAAACATCGATTAGGATTTTGAACAAGAAAGAAATTACATATCCAGACCGTATGCTATCCAATGGCCCATTCTGAACTCTGCCAAGTTTACAATTTTTAAACACGGATATTCAGCGAAAGTCAGAAAAGTCAAGTTTTCAAGCACATAAAATTAATATCGTTTGTTTTCATCTTTATATCGTTTGTTTTCATCTTCCCCTCCGATTTATGCTCTTAATAGTCAAAGTGAAATACATGTATTTGCATTTTTAAAGATAATATTGCTCATATATTTTTTGCGGCCGGGCACACAGCTGGTTCCCTGATAATATTAAACATTATAATTTATATAGGCCTATTTAGCCCAATGCAGCCCCATCCTGTGTCTTGTCTTCTAATTTTAGCAAAAATGCACGTTTTCTTTCTGAAAGGTGAATTTTTGCAAATTAAGTAACCACCCTGATAGATTGTTAAAAGGTCTGCATTTTACGAATATGATACACCCATTTACCTCCATGTACAGATACACCAGAGAGATGATACACCCAAATTCTCCCAAGACCGTCGTTAGCCGGTCGCACGGGGATTATTAGTTCTATCTATTCACCATCTCAAACCTAGTCTGTAAACACAGACTCAACTTTACTCTTGAATAAAACCACATGAAATAATCAGGAGAATCAGATTCTGCTTGATGTGTTATGTTTCTTTTCCAGTATTGCACTGTGTCAGAAGCAGCTACATGACATAACTCAGTACTTTCATGTTTGAAATTTAGACATTGTTTTTACTCATAATGGCTGTCAAGGGTCTGTGTCTGCAGACTAGCTATAACCAAAGAGAGAACAAAGAGAACAATAGCCAAGCGCGGGCAATGCGTCCGTTGTTTGCAAACAGCTAGAGCTCTGTCTAATAGTATATACAAAGTCTGGGCACGAACAACATATTATGGTACACGCGCGGCCAGCACCAGATTTAAGATCACTCTTCGATTCGACATCGTCACTCGCGGTTACGTTGTCCATAATCTGTTAATTTTTCCTTTTATAACGTACGCGTTTTGAATTTTCTTCGAAATGGCTATGACGAAGAAGAAGAAAACGAGTTCACCGTACGTGGTCGCCTTCGTTTTTCGGTAGCTTCATTTACACAGTTTAATGAGGTTAAATTTATCTTCATTTAACAGCTAAATGAGGATAAATTTATCTTCGTTTAGCTGTTAAATGAAGATAAATTTATCTTCATTTAACAGCTAAATGAGGATAAATTTATCTTCGTTTAGCTGTTAAATGAAGATAAATTTATCTTCGTTTAGCTGTTAAATGAGGATAAATTTATCTTCGTTTAGCTGTTAAATGAGGATAAATTTATCTTCGTTTAGCTGTTAAATGAAGATAAATTTATCTTCGTTTAGCTGTTAAATGAGGATAAATTTATCTTCGTTTAGCTGTTAAATGAAGATAAATTTATCTTCGTTTAGCTGTTAAATGAAGATAAATTTATCTTCGTTTAGCTGTTAAATGAAGATAAATTTATCTTCGTTTAGCTGTTAAATGAGGATAAATTTATCTTCGTTTAGCTGTTAAATGAAGATAAATTTATCTTCGTTTAGCTGTTAAATGAAGATAAATTTATCTTCGTTTAGCTGTTAAATGAGGATAAATTTATCTTCGTTTAGCTGTTAAATGAGGATAAATTTATCTTCGTTTAGCTGTTAAATGAAGATAAATTTATCTTCGTTTAGCTGTTAAATGAAGATAAATTTATCTTCGTTTAGCTGTTAAATGAAGATAAATTTATCTTCGTTTAGCTGTTAAATGAAGATAAATTTATCTTCGTTAACACAGTTTAATGAGGATAAGTTAGAAATGTGGGTGGTAGTGTGTGGAGATGTGAAAGAAAAATCAAGGAATCAGTTTGATGACATTTTGACGAAAAGTGAACAAAAATTCGTTCATTTTGAAAAGATATACTGTTTACAGCGAAATGGAACCCCTAATAAACATACAGAGCAAAATATATTGGGTGGTTGGTACAGTGAACTCTCTTGTGCCTCCAAAGAAACAATTTGTTTGTATACATTTCTTCCCAGCAGAGAGTCGTAAATCAACCTAAATTTTACCCTCCATTGAAGGGGAACTTGACAAATGGGGATCATGAACCTTGCAGATTGACGTCACCAGTTGTACAATAATATTTTAAGTTACCCGGTACATATGTAAAGTTGGTCTCCTGCATGTATATGGCCTCACCCTTTGACAAAAGTCATGCATTATTTTCAGTATAATTTTCCATACAATTTGTTCGGGGACAGAAGGGCCTCAACACTAAAAATGACTATGCTAAAGCTATACAATAAAATATAAAGCAGGGCTCTCATTTAGCCGAGTTGGAGCCTCGAGTTGTGGCGAGCTGGCGTGCGATTATGGCAAGCCGTTTTATCATTGAAACATATCTCTTGATATCACGAAATTGAATTCTTGATATCAAGAATTACCATTGCTTTACAACGTAAAATTATTTCTTGATATCAATTAGAGATATGTTTTAATGATAAAACGGCTTGCCATAAGCTCGCACCAGCTCGCCACAACTCGAGGCTCCAACTCGGCGAAGTGGGAGCCCTGCTTAAAGCTTTATGGTCCTTGCATTCTGTACAGCATTACAAAGAGTACTGTGCTGGTAGTCCTGAAGGCTTGGATAATGTTGCCTAAACTCAGTGCTGTAAAGTAAACCTACTTGCAACATTTGCTTGTAGGCCCCTACCCGTAAAAGACCTTGGCCCTTAAACATAAAAAAATGACCTAAAATCCATTAAAATTTATAATCCATTGTCTGTCTAGTTGTGCTGCAATTAAGTTGCCTTTGATAGAGACACAACAATGAGAGAAGTAGGTTAGTGAAGTCTGAGCAAAAACAACATATTAAGAATAGGAAAGTTATGAACTTTCTTACTTTTAATTAGATATCGCTCAAACTTTCACTAATTTGTTTCTCTCATTTTTCTGCTTTAATTAAAACCAACTTATACTCTTTTCACACTGGTTTTGCTTAACCCCGTTCTTTGCTTAGCCCCGTACTATCCTTAACCCCGGACTATTTTTTTGGCTTTTCACATTCGCTGTTTTTAGTCCCGTACTAGCGCCTATTCCGGAATAAGAAAATTCCCGCTGTTCTCACTGCATTTCGTTAACCCCGGATATCGTGTATGTTATGATAGGACATACTTCGCATCTAGCCAGCTGCGATACGCTCCATTGCGTAGTACCGGACTATTTTCGTTTCTGTTCTCATTCGTTTGCTTAGCACCGCAATTGCGGGGTTAGCAGGAGTTAGCACCACAATTGCGGAGTTAGCCCTGCTATTTTGCAGGGTTAGTTAACCCCGTACTATAGGTGGGGTTAGCCAACTTTAGCCCACTTTGGTAAAAGCCAGTGTGAACAGAAAGTGGAATAGGCTTAACCCCGTACTATAGGTGGGGTTAAGACCCCCCCTTAACCCCACCTATAGTACGGGGTTAAGGAAAATATTGCCAGTGTGAAAAGCATATAAGTATCAGGGTGGACTTCCCTGTTAATTGTTGCTTACCACGCAATATATCTATCCATAATATGAAATCAACCTTCGGTTATTATTCATGGTATGATTCATGGAAGAAGTAACAGTAAATTTGGGGGAGATAAATAGACATGTACATTCAATTGTAACTTATTTTATGTTTCAGGACTCTGGTCTTGTAAGATACAAAGAAATATAGAAGCATCAACTTACTTTTTCCTTAATTGAACGTGTATTTTGTATATATTCAGTCTTCACTCGAGCCAGTAATTCAAAGCAAAGGATATAGATGTACCTCCTTGTACACCTACCTACATGTAGTACTCTATTACTGATAGTTTTGAGGCTTGTTCAGATATAGCACGGTATAACACAACAAAGGTCCTGTATAAGACACAGAAATGCATTAAAAGCGTGTACACTTTGTGTCATCACAAAAAAGACCGTCACGGTTTTGCCGAGTCAAATCTATTAAATGTAAATGAATGACAACTGCGCGCAACAAAGATTATAAGATACAGAAATGTGCATTGTATACATGTACCCTTTACTTCATCAAAATAAAATCTGCTGTGGTTTTGCCACATCAAATTTGAACGAAGCCTTGCATGTTTTGCAGGTTTTACGACCGTTCTACAACAGTATCACTACCGGTATATTAAATATAGACCTTTAAATTTGGGCACCAATGTGGCTCCCGTGGAGTGTTATAAACTATTCCTGCCCTGCCCTCGCATTGGCTTTCATATCAGTGCAATTAGGACCTGCTGGTGGACAGCTAACAGGCAAGCTTAAAGGTCCCCTTCAACCTACTTTAAAAACAGAAAATTAAAGATAAACTTGAGTTCTGGTAATGCGATTGCATTGTGAAAGAAAAGGTGTGGAACGGATCAGAAAAGTTGATCGTATAGCATGTAAGTAATGGTGTGTAATGCAAGGTTCTGGAGTCATCAAAATCATCATAAATTTGGCAGAGTCTTGGTAAAGTAACAAGCACTCACATAGAAAGCTATATATGGGACAACCCACATGGTGTCAGGGCTAGTACTACCTTGATTTCCTTGTCTTTCTATGCTCATTACTCAGCCAGTATACATTTTCTTCCAAAATTGTTTGGCACATGTCATTTATTTGTAATCTTGAACATTCAGTGTAAGTTTTGTTTGATTCTGTGAGAATATATTTTTTTTTTACCAGAACTCAAGTTTATCTTTAAGCTTGGATAAAAGGTTAACAAATTTTGTGAGCGGTGCCGATATGCTAATTTTGTTTGAGATTCATTAAGTTTTATGCCCGAAAGTGATAGCATCACAACCAGCACCACACTACATTTGTTTTAATGTACATGTACTATAAACCCAGAACTTGTCCAGCATGAATCTTTTACGATCGCCAAACAATGGCTGATTAAGCTTGATTTTCAAGGTAAGAAACTTTTGTGAAATTCCTTTCTGTGCTTTAAATTTTCCCTTTCTCATATTTCTTCTTGATCATATTTTTTCAAGAAATCTGGGGGGGGGGGGCGGATGGTTACCCCTCTGTCTTTAAAAAATAGGTGGACAACAAAACATCTCTCCTATATTTGTCCCTCTCTCACTTCTCTTTCATATTAATTTTTCTTCTCCAAAGAATTAAAGGAGGGGGGGGGATGGGTAGGTGCCCCTATACAATCTCTTCCTTCATCATACTACACACTGCTGTTAACACTCTGCAATAATTTCATTTCATCACTTCATACAATGTACATCTGCCGAAGAACCATTTACAGTCAACCTAGAAAAATTCACCGCGAACTTCACTTCAACTCCATAGCATGACTCAATACCAAATTCCTCCTCCGAACGTAGATGTTGGGGCGTCCAGCTGGGAAAATCATATAATTCTGAAAATGACATCTGTCAACGAACTTATCCACATGCCTTCGGAAAGCGAGTAAGTTGTAGTTTTGGACGGCTACTGGACGAATGTGTGGCACGTGTGGGGTGAAACTGATCCCTGTATTCCTGGATTTCTCTTGACTTGACTTGATGTAAAGGTGTGGGTATCAATCATATTCACCGTAAAATGACAGGTATAGAAGGGCACATAGTAGAATTGTGGCAAATGAGGTTGAATGGGTTTTTTTGTTTAAAACTATATACCGGTAAGAAAAAAAAGGGAAGACAAAAAACAATAGTGCAGTTTGCAGCCCTCATGGGGGAGGGGGGTCTTTCTGAATTTGTATTAGAAGTATGTTTGCCCTCTGCAGCTCCCGCACTAAACATTTTTGTCATCATTGAGGGGGGGGGGGGGGTCTTTTCAAATTTGTAGTAGTAGGGTTGCCCTCATACAAGCATAATATCAACATTGTGCAGAATTTATTATTTCTATAATTGTCAGTGTTTCAGAAGGTTATTGCCCTATTTGTGTTCATGATATTACTCCTGAATTTTCCATAAGTGTAACAAACCATTGCACTTGAGTCGTTGTTTGTGTGAAAACACATGCACAGAGGCCTGTAATCTCTGGTCAATACACCATAGGTCAAAATGATAACCATTTATGATAAGCCACCTCGGGGATAGCACTTGTACAAATGACCCCCAAATATCCACAGATCTTTTACACATGGAGATCTCCCGCTGTGTGCATTTTAGAATAGGCACTGCCAAACTGATGGAGGTGCTTCATGAATAGCTTTTGTTTGCCCTCTTAAAAAGAATACTTCCATCTGTGTATCATAGAATGTACCACCCATTGCATAATAATGATTACAAAAACAAGGATCGAGGAGTCATTTCCATGGGTTCTACTGCTCTGTACATATGCACTTGATCAATGTGCAGATAGTATCTTCAAATAGGCTCACCAGTATTTAGACATATTTGCTACTTATACTGTACATACCGTGACATAGGCCAAACATGTTTAGGCCCTATGTGTTCAATGTTTGGAATGTTTAAACAAATGATTACCAGTAGGGGGAAGAAGATATCTTTTACCTTCTATCATATATACATACATACATGCAAACATAGACTTTACCCACTTTAAATCCGATTATCAAATTAAACCAGTTACCAGACCAAAGCAGTCATATAACTCCTTGGCCAACCTATGGTTTTGTTCAATATGCCCACATCAAGTGTCTTCCAAATGATGTTGTTCTTATTTTTTGTTTGTTTCTAAATGTGATTATAAATTCAGTAGAAACATACAGAAGCACAAATAACTGAGAATGAATTTACCTCTTGAAAATTCAAAGGGGCACTAGCAAAAAGAAAACCCAGTAAAATTCAATATCTTTACATCAAAAGAGAGCTGTGGCAAAACAGTAATTTTTCAGTTTGCCTGTTACGAAGAATTTGATTGTGATTTTAACCAGACCTGGGTTTAAGCTTTTGACCCTTGATGACCCTGACCCATGCTAGAGCTGCTAGAGGGTCTGTATGTGATATCATCCTCAAGCCAATATCTAATATGAAATGATTATGATTTTCCCACATCTGTCTGTCTGTCCAAAGTGACATGGAATATCTTCCAGAGTGAGAGACGGAGGTCAAGCCTCATGCGTCCAGGGACCTCTTTGACCAGGCACTGCAGGCCATGTAAAATTGACCCCTTGTTTCTCGTCTAGATGATGTTATTTTATATTTTATATTTTTCTGTTCATTATAGAAGTGCTATTGGGTCAATTGCAACACTGATTTTTGTTAATTCAAAGTGCATTTACGTGCACTGCAGATATTGCAAGCAAGTTGAAATTGCATTAGATTGAGATCTATAAATCATTTTTGTTGACCACACTGTCTAGATACCCTTAGATTTAATCTATTTAGTTTCAGAATAATATCTTGGAAATGAAAATTGCCATGGGCTAGTAAAGGGAGGGAGGGAACAAGAAACTAGTAATTATTCTTATTTGGTCTTATTTTCTTGGCCTTTGTCACATGTTTTTAGAGCATAGCATGCTGGTCTGGATAACGTTTTTTCTTATCTAGCAAAGACGAGCCTTTTTTTTACCCCTCTCATTCTCATGACTAGCCTTTTTTTTGGGGGGGGGGGGGTGGGATGCATGCATACATTGATGATTTGAATTCGGATCCCTTTTGAATAATGCTTGTGCGGAGACTTGCCCATGTTGTCTGAGGTGACTGAATACGTAGACTACCGTCGTACTTGTAGGAAATATGAACTGATGCTACTGGTTCTGGCACAGAGTTGATCCCACTTTGATCCTCTAGATGCATTTCCAATTTATGACTGAATGCACCCTAAATCCCCCCAGATAATGACATCCTAGGCGAGATCATGAGGTATGTTTTCATCAGCTCAAGATTGCCAAATAGCCTGCTATTTCTGATTTGGGAAATAAGCCTGAAGTTACAAGTCTCGTCTTCACCAGATATTTTGCTCATTGTTCCGCATAGTGCAAGTCTTCGAGCTGGTGAAAACGTATCGGACGAATAGGGCCGTTAGCTGGATATTTTGCCACATAGCGGGATATTTTGCAAACTATTTTGCAAAATGATTTTCTCGACCAGGATAGATACATAGATTTATTTTTAGAGAACTGAGCTGTATTTCTTTGTTCCTGTAATCCCATATCCTTTTAGTTTCATTGTCTGCTTTTTCATACCTGTATTTGGTATCATTAATGATGGCAGTTAAATATCAAATCACATTTTTTTTATGTAAGCCTACATTGTTACGGGTATACAACATGTGAAAGGGAACAGTATTGTTGAATTGTTTTGACCTAGATACCTACCTCTGGTACTACTCTAGTTAAATAAAAGATAGAGAGAACAGTAAAATTAGGGAAGAGAGGTTGATAGACGCATACTAACGCATAGAAGACAGAGGGAACAGTAATAAGGGAATGAGCATCAGAGCCTGACAGATACCGAGGCTATATAAATATCCATATTATTATAATAACCTGTAAAAGACAGAGAGAACAGTAATTTGGGAATGGAGATAGACACATAATAACTCTTAGAAGATAAAGAGAACAGTAATAATGATTAAGGAGAGGGAGATAAAGAGTAAAATCAGAAATTAAAGTGAAGAAGAGGGACTCTGTTCTTAAAGTAAATCAATGGTAGTTATAATTCCAGTGCGTCTTCTTTTAGTGTATGGAATATATGGATGGTACCGGTAGTTATAATTCCGGTGCGTCTGCTTTGTCTAAGCACTTACTTTGAAGAAATTGGATCGCAGGCCCTCCATAAACAAAGCTTTGCTTTTACAAGTTGAAGTTTGACTTTGGACTTTTCCACGAGTACCCTATACTCAATAGAGAAAAGAGAATCATTCAGTGCATATCATTCATCAAATGTCACATTCAAATCTATCAAGCAGATTAAAGCCACTTCTAATGTGACAAGCATCATGAGGCCCATTTACACTAACCCCCCAAAAAGTTTGACAAAAAAAATGTCAATTTTAGTTGAATCTGTTTTTTATACATATCAAGTAGTGTGTATGCGCAACTTGTAGATAGTGTGGAATTAAGAGTCACATGAGCTAAAACCAGAATAATTCATTAGTTGTTGTTGTTCTTGTTGGTAATAGTTTAATGGCGTTTATTCAGTATTGAATATATACGCTATATCTTCAGTTTTATAAGAAAAATGA